GTGTGGTAAAGCTAAGTGTCGTAGAGTCAAGTGTGGTAAAGTCAAGTGTACTTGACTCCACGTATTCTCTATGTATTTTCTCTGCGAGGCTCCGCACGGAAGAACCCTTCGCGATGCTTTCGGGAACTGTTGGTTCATTGCAGCACTTGCTGTTGAATGTTCGAAGCGTCACGACGTTCACTGAGGCTCTGGAGATTGTTTTTAGTCACATCAAGAAAAGGCATCTGACTGTGCCGTGGTAGGATCAACCGCCAAGACCAGGCCGATATGGATATAGGCGCACTGAAAGGAAAGAAAGGATGGAAAGGAAAAGGAATGAAAGGTGGAAAAGGAATGTATAAAGGCAAAGGCGGCAAAGGAAAAGGATACAAAGGAAAAGGAATGTTTTCGTACAAGGGCCAAGGAAGAGGAAAGAAAGGGTTCAAAGGCAAAGGGAAAGGAAAAGGACTGAGAGGAATGAAAAGAAAAGACAAAGGTCCATGTGGTGACCCAAACCACTGGAGCAAGGAATGCCCTCAAGAAGGTAAAGGTAGGATGTCAGCTTTGACTGGTGAAGGAAACCAGCAACAGGATCAGGAAGGGGAGTGGAATCAGGAGTGGAGTCAGGATGATGAATGGTACGGCGACGAGTGCACATGGGATGAATCGGATTGGAATTCTGAGTGGATTGGTTCTGTTGATGATTGGTGCAGTGACTGGTCTTGGAACGATGACGACTGGAGTTGTTGGCCTGAGGCCTGGTCTTGGAACACTCAGGATTGGTGAACGACTGAGGTTCAGCAAAGCTCGAATGGTGCCACGAGCTCAGCTAATGTCCCTCTTGACGTTGTCCGGGGATCGAAGCTTGGACTGATGACGAATCTGTTCGTCGGGGCTTACCTGTTGATTGGCGCGCTGAGTTCTGGAATGCCGCCGAGTGTTCCGCAAATGGCGCAAGTGCCTGAGCATGATCCGAATGTGTTCGAGGACAGCCTTGTGGAGTTGCACATGCGGGCTGGACTGGTCGACAAGGCTTGGATATTGTTCGACCGTGGTGCTTGCGCGACTTGTTGTCCTGAATGGTTCGCACCGGAATATCCGGTGTTTCGTGTGCACCGTCGCTGCGGAGCTTGTCTGGAAAGACACAGGATGTGCAAAGTCGAAAGATTGTTCAGCTTGACCCTGGCAATGGCCACGCGTTGAGCGTTCAGTTTTATGTGTGCAGTGGCATTCTGCTTCCGCTGGTCAGTGTGGCACGACTGTTGTTGCAAGATTTCTGGACTGTGATGGCCAAGAACTACCTTGCGCTGATTGAACCGACTGGCAATCCTGTGCCGATTGTGCGGCAAG